GTGGGTGAAGAATCAACAACGTCAAACATATGAAGTAAAGCAGGACTGGAATGGCTTAAAGTTAGAACACACTGAAGTGTTAGAAGGATTCATTCCCATCCCACACTTTGATATAATTGAGAATTTAAAGTTAGTTCTTAAATTTGTTTCTGGTCAAAACTTCAAAGGTTTGAAGGAGGAGCCAAAGGCAGATATTGAAGCAGAACTGGTTTCTTGAGGATGTATTAACAAAAAGGGTAACAAAAGCAAAAATCCAAAGCAACTAAAAAACCAGGAATACTTACAACAAGCAGGCAAAGAAATGACGACGAACCAGCAAAGAGTGACTGAACAGGAGTAGATTATATGGCAGAGAGAAACAAAGACCAGGCTAATTAGCAGATTAGGAGCAGGTGTGAACAGAGGCTAGAAGGGAGCTAGAGAAAAATGACAGAAAGGGGCAAACCAGAAATATCTAAGAACTCAAATACAATAAAAAAATGGAAATAAGACCAATGAAAACTCAAAAATAAAACTGGAACAGAACCAACACCATGACAATGTAATATATGTAAACATTGTAGAGACACACCTTAGAAGATATGAAATATAACTGCTCTAAAATTTGCTCTAATTCTTTCAGATCCTCTTAGAATAAGGCCAAATCTTAAAATAGAATGACTTAAAGTTTTGACTCAAATTGTTAAGCGACTGCCACTGGTTTCAGAATCCGATCTCAATTTCTCTTTGCCTCTAATGATGTCAAGCCTTGATTTTTTTTTTTTTTTTTAAGGCAGGGATAAACTTCTCTACACCATCCGCACTGCCTTCATCAAAAACTTAAATGCTAAAGAAAACTCAGTGCTGCTGTTCAACCCACAATTTGAGTTTTAAAAATGTTGCACTATCAAAGGCAGAGATCTAAAATCCCGGTCCTCAGGGAACAGCCTCATGCAACGTTCAGATAAATCCCTGATCCTGCTGACCTCAGTCCAATGGCAGAAATACTGTATATCCTCAGAACGCAGTCAGTAACAGAGTCAACCAATAGTTATTATTTGATTCAGCTTTGTTTAAGTGATAAAACTAAAAGTTTTCCACATGGACTCTATATAAAGAGGATCTTTTAAGGTGAAATAAAAAGGCAACGATCCAAACAGAAAATAATAATGCTAAAGAAATACATTAACTTTGTATTCCAATCACATTTCCTTTTTTAATCAATATTTTAATTTCGGTCATTTTTAAGATTTGTACATGTGCGGATCAATCGTAGAAGAGTAAAAATTTGTGTTACTGTTTCTCTTTCTATCATTTCATTAAAGCGTTTTTATTAGATATAATACAGGGTTCCTACAGCATAGGTTAAATTCAAGACTTTTTAAGACTTTTTAATG